GTGTTTGCTTGCGGCGACAGATTTTGCCACACGCCCTTCGGAAAACAGCTGCACCTGCTTTACCATGACAGATGAAACTATGTCAGCTTTATGTGAGGTTTTTTTTTTTCGAAAGGAACAAAGAAAAGGATAAGGACAGCCATAGAAATTGAGAATGGGAGGGGAACCAGGCCGTACATCTGTCTGGCGCGCTCTTCTGATGAATATGGAGCAGTTTGATTAAAAGGTTAAATGGCCTGACAGCTGCGTGAACCTGAATATGTACACACAAGTAAAAAAAAACTCCACAAACTGCAAATATTCTTTGCCTCGTCACCTCTTTTTAGAACAGGTGAGTGCACATATCAGAGCCGACATCCACCATGCTGACCAAACACACCAAAAGACGGGGGGGCAACTGAGGCTACGCTGCGTCAGCCGCAATTTAAACGTGTGCCTAATCCTCTTCGTCATATCACAAAGAGTGGGGCTTGATTTAAGACTTTGTTGTGACTTCATGGGGGATGGGGTCGGGAGGGTGCAATATTCTTTTTTTGAAACAGTCCTCTGGGTCAGTCGAGTCAGAAAATATTGACAAGAACAAAGGACCCTTAGTAGCCACTGTGTCCTAATTAGCCGCGGGGTGAATCATCCACTTAAGACAAATAAACGCTTCCCTGAAATAGACAGCACCTTCCCAAGGAAAGAAAAAAAAAAAAGGCTGTAACTGTAATTACGGTTATCACACACTCGGGGTGGAACGGCTCTGGAAAATTGTTGAGGCGGTTCGGGAGGACTGTTTCAGTTTAGTTCGCATATGCACAGTTAGCCGGACAACAACCTTTGTTGAGCCAAGGTCCCTATTTGACATCAGAAAAAGCTCACGCGGAAACAAACATGAATACCGAAATAATGATGTTGTCTCTACGTTGTCACAAAATTCCGTAATTTCCGACGCTGATGACATCCCGACCATGTAGCGTGCGTGTAGCGTTTTAAAATGTCGTTGCAGAGATTCCCTTTCTTTGCCAATGACACTTTGGCCTGTTTGACTGCCGCGTCTTCTCTTGCTCCTGCCCCCTCCTCTTCTCCGGCTTGGAGAGGGGGCGAGGTCAGCGATGACCGAATTGGATGGATGGATTTTGCACCGACTGATCTGAACAAGATCTGAGATGGACCAACTCCTCAGAGATTTCCGCAGTGACCAACCTAGAACCACTCCTCTGAATTCATCTAGTTATAAGCACACGATGAAACAAAACTATGTGTAGTCGACCTGCGTGTTCAGACAGAACAGTTACAAATGAGCCTTTGACGAGCGTCTGCCAATGAGATACGTTGAATCATCAGTCTGGGCAAATGCCTTTTTACAGGCGGGCTTTGTGGTGTCTGTGAGCTTGTCTGCAAGCTGTGGACAATCGGCAAAATGACAACAAACAACTCTGGTTTTGTTACTGGGGGGAGCGGGGGGTGAATTTCTTTAGAAAATCAATTTGTCTTCAATAATGACTTGATCTTGAATAGTACACCACTCCACACACCACTTTGTTGAATATATCACAGTTGTCCAAATCCATTTTAACTGTTGTTGATCATTTCTAATGTACGGAGCTGCAATATTCATTCCTAGAATCTCTCATTCCGTATCCAATCTGACAGAAAACGCTCGCCCTTTACAATTGGAGCTTGCGATTCGCCGTTCCCTCCATAAAAAGAGCAGAGTGAGGGTGTTACTCATTAACGCTTTGGTGCCTCTGAATCGACTGGCTGGTGGCACAGCTACAACCTCCCAAATTAGTTGTGGTTCCTTGGGCCGGGACAACGGACATCCAGGGTCACAGGAATGCTTTGCATTGCTCTGCTGCTCGTACCGTTCGGTGGCAGCCCGCAGGACAATCGACAGGCAGGCAAGAGGAAGGAATGCTGCATAGTGTTGATGAAAGTCAACTCTAAATAGCGATTCAGTAGAAGCAGCTGAAATTTTGGAGTGTCCATTCTTGCATGTCAAACGTGGAGGCGGCCGCCCGAGCCCCAAGAAGCTCTGAAATCCTGAAAACCATAAGCTGACAGAGTTATCACTTTAAAACTGCAAGAGTGGCACTGGATCAGAAACGGTGATGCAAGTGTGACAAGTCCATTGCCTCAGCGTTTGTTTCCATGCTGGAAGAGAAGAGCCACATTTGGATCGGTAACTGGGAAACACCTGGCCCGTGGCCCAGACATCACTTCAACCCATGTCATTTTCTTGATACGGGTACCAAATTTTGCAAGAACAGACTCCCGAGCCCACCAAAATGAACTTGGCGGGTCCAAATCAGGGAAATGATCTTTGAGAATGAGATCAAATCAACATTTCACACAAACATTTTGGGAGCTTGTCGTTACAAGGCATTGGATCCAAAAATAATCAAGTATCAAGTAGGACAAAGGGCGTGACCAAGCTTTATCGGTGTAGTAAAAACGTGCATCGCCTTAAGTCCCCATCTTATGCATCTTGTGTGATTTCACAAACATACATCGAGACAATAAAAGCTCCACTCAAGCAACCTCAAATGCACCGATGTAGAATAGTGACTCCTCTGTCACACTCGGACTGCAATTCATTTATTTTTACTGTTAGCAGTCCTTTGTGTTGGTCGTAACAGCGGGAAAATGACAAACCATCTCAGTCCGATAATTAGGTTGGTAAAATGGAGGTAAAACGGACATCTGTTTGTTTTTAGGTCACTCATCCAATTCACAGAATTAAGATAAAAACATTACTGCCAGAGCTCAAACTACGAAACCCACAGTGTGACTACATCCTTGATATGCATGCATTAACAGTTCCACTATTTTGCAGGCAAATGTCCGGCTCTACTTCGTTGATACACATGACCGTGGAAATGCGATGACTGTATCCCTGCAGCTCTTTGTCGAAATTTAAACTTCAACCGGCCTCATCCAAAGAATTTGGTTCAAATTTGGAGGTCCCGCCCCCCTACATGGAGTCTCACGAGCAGTGGCGACTCTGAAGCGAAGATAAACCTCCCAAAAGGATCTCCCGACATCCTCGCCCGTCATGGACCGTTATTTATTTTTCTGAAAAGGGGGCGCGGGGAGAATCATGTGATGTTGAACAGACAAATGAGCCTGAGGGGTGGGAGGCTGAGGGAGAAGAGGGTAACAGAGAACAAGGACACAGTCTATTAGATGGGTACTACTAGGATGTTATTCGCAATAGTGACACCACCTAATTTAGCTCGGTGCCAGCGTGTGGATGTGTGTGGCTGTTTTGCTTGTGTGCATGTGTGTAAAAACCACACACAGAAGCATAAAGGACAAGCATAAGCCTTTATGTTGCTCTTAACAGGCGTGGAGGCTGCAGGGGCACATTTCTTTCTTTTTAGGAGCACTAAAGGGCATGGAAATGTTTCAGTGTTCTGATTAAATATACAGCTATTGATTTAATAGATATGTTTAAAATGGGGGGGGGGTAGTGGGTTCCTGACTAATGTAAAGAATGCAACCCCCCCCCTTTACAATGGACCCACGCCGTGACAATCCAATTGCAGGACAAAGAATGTGGAATTTGCTCCCTCTTCCATGTGTCCTAAAGCCAACATATCAATTCGATAACCGCCCCTAATTCTGAGGCAGCGGGGTGTTATGTGAGGACACCGCTCTGCTTTTAGCATGGGGAGGATGTGATCAGCCCCCATGGATGCTGTGCGTGAAAAGCATGCGCCCTTCCACTCATGATCAGGCTCCCCAAGCTACACAAAGGGAAGACGCACAAAGAAAACGCTTGAGTCAGAAAAGCTCACTATCGGATGTTCCCCTAAGATAGGACCTCTTTTTTTTCCGGGATGCACATTAAACTAATGAAACTAGCCAAGCAGCAATACACTGCAAATGGGTGTGTTACATGGCAACAATAGTGGATGCGGATAAATCAATGACGGGTGGCATTTAAAACTGTTGAGTATTAATTGCATGGTAGTTACCACCGCAACTAAGCACGACTCGGGCTTCTTCCACGCGTTTTCTTTTTTAATTCTCTGTACGGTGCATTAGGCGTGCGCTGTTCAATTGCAACCGCAGCCCGTTTCCATTCAAAAGACACGCGGAGCAACACCAGCGCCGAAAACGCCAAATTCCACAGCAGCAAAAGGCGACAAGGGTGGTTTGAGTAATAAGCACATTATTAAGCAGATGCACGTCAAGCGAGCGGATTAAGTCACGTTAATGCGGAAATTATGGCATTATTTGACGCAACCGCCCGCAAGGGTCTTCCACATAATAAATCCGAATGAGAACAACGTAAATTAATCCAATCTACATACTCACTGGTACACTGCTTGCTTGGTTATCACTCAAACCACTTCCGCTCAAATTTCCAAGTGTTTAAACAAATCTGATTCGTCAATCTAAATTAAAAAACGAGTCAGGAATGTCAACAAGTGTATTTCCACTAAATGTGAATGAACTCCAACAATGTCGCATCGAACTATAACGGTAAACTTAGGGTGGGTGAGGAGGAGGCGATGACATTCATCCCGGCTGGTAATTTGTTCAAATATTTGCCAGAGGCACTTCCAAAGAACACGTTCCTCCACAAAGTAAATGAGCAACCAAAGCTTGACAAATAAGCAAACAAAACATCCAGCACAGGGATGCAGCCAACTTTGCGTTTGAGGAACTGGTCACACTCCGGACGTACTTCTTTGCACAGCCGAAACCCAAAAGAGGCAGCAAGAAAACACTTACAACTTCCACCATGAGCTTTTCTAGTCGCCCCTAAAGCCAAGGGTGACTTTTCGTTTCTTTTTTTCCGCCCCGGACAAGAAACATTCCACAGTCAGGCAGCAGAAGGCTAGCCAGCGACCCTGCGCCATCTTAGTTTGACACACTCCGCTTCTTGGGGTTTCTTGAACAAAAGAGATTTTCCGCACTATCTCGGAGCCGGCAACAGTCTAACTGAGTGGAAACATGTGAAAAACAGCAAGAACAAATGCTAGTAGTAGGTTAAGAGTAGTTACCGTTATTTTCCTGTATCCTCGTTAAGGAAAACAAGACGATCAAAATGCATGGTATTGTATCCATCGTGGCTCCGGACCAGACTGGCACCCGAGTGCTAACTTCTCCACGCGCTGAGAATGGTGAGCGCTGATTGGTTGGGGGATCGGCAGGTTCCGCCTACAAAATCTGAAAACTTCAGTTGATTGGTAGAAAGACCCGAACGCCGCGCCCATTAAAAAAAAAAATCTCTCTTCATCCACTGTAAACAAAAACTGTTACTACTGTATTCAGTATTGTACTATAGTGGACTTTAATCAAAAAATACTTCAAATTATAAAACAAATCTATCAAATGTAATTGCCTTGTTATTACAATGAGTCACTTTTACTTTCACCACTATTACAACTAACTTGTTACAATGAACCAGCGATGTGGTCCTCAAGTAAACTGCTTATCCTGCTTGAGACCATACAATACATTTATAAATATTGTTTCATCACTCTCACACGCTTTTAACACACTCAAGCATATTAAAAGTATTTCTTAGCACCCCTTCTCAATCTGTCTCTTGCACAGTTCTAAAACAAAACAAAATTAAACATCACACCAAAACGTTTAACCAAACCATTACATTTAATGTTGGTGAAAAGCTGCCTCGCAAAATGAGCTCATAAACATCAGACAGCTCCTATTTTAAGAGACACAGACCAGCAACACATACAAGCAGAGCATATAACATTCACAGGAATATTTTTAGTGTGCTCTGAGGGAACAACAACTATTACTGCAGCTCGGTTGGGGACCTTCTCTGCCTCTTCTTGCTTTTGTCACACTGCATCACTTCTACAGATATAAGTGCTGCCTGCCATGTTGTGGCCCAAATGACACTCTAAATGTGGTTATCTCCCTTAATAACTGTTGAATAATTGAAGTGATGACTTTTGGACAAAACATTGGTTGGTCGAGCAAACGTGGGAAGAAACCAGAGCACCCGAAGAAAACCGGCACGGGGAGAACATGCAAACTCCACACAGGAAGACTGGAGCCGGAATCGAACTCTGCGCCTCTAAAAAAAAACATTAAGCAAAACTGAAACAACACCAAAAGCTTGCACGCAATTGACATTGAGGAGATAGGAGGCAACATTCACATAATTGTGAAGACAGTGTCACAGTGGCTTTGAATGAGGGCTCATATGGTAACGATAATATCAACAAACATGGATAGTATTCTTCCTGCTGCTCACTTTTGATTAGATTTCGTCAATGACATGCTGCGGCTGCACCCGTGTGAGTCGACCATAAGTCTCTGAAAAAATGCACCCACACACACTTCATAGCTGATAGTATCCTCAAACAAAGACATCCCTCGTATTGTCCCAAAGGTTGTAACCCCTCCCTTTGTTCACTCACATCTACTCCCATCCCATCTGTAGTCTGAGGCTGTCACAGAACCCCTTCCCCCATCCCCCACATCACCACCTTCGCACACTCTCTGTGGACAATGTGACAGAGATTGATGGTGAACCATTATTTGATGTCCAGCTGAACCTTGCGCAGCAAACTGTACTACACATGTTCACAAACTAATGGAGGCTTGCTCACGTTTACCCGGGTTCACTGCATCCACCGAGGCTCAAAAAGAAAAAAGAAAAGAAAGAAACGAGCAATGTAATTTAAAAGGTAGGTTTGGAATAATGACCAAACCAAACCACCCATTTCTCAAGATGATTAACAAGCAGCGGGGCATTACTCTCTTGCACGGCTAGCGAGCTTTCACCAATGTATTAATTCTTCTTTTCTAAAAATATTGGACTTTTTGAAGTGGTACGCCGTCAGTGTAGTACCATGTCTTGCCACAACATTGCCCGGCAGCACTGAGCTGTCCTGGAACAGGTGGAGTGACAGTAAAAAGAAGAAGCAGAAAGGACTCTGAACTGTATAAAAATAATAATAATAATACATTTTATTTATAAGCGCCTTTCAAAACACTCAAGGACACTTTACAATCAGGAACAACAATTATACTGTATTGTGTTGAAATATACGATGTTTAATTATCTTTTGTTATGCTAGTTTTAATAGTTTCACCCCTCCAACATGCTTTAAAACCAGTTAACACACACAAGTGCTAATCATGCTCGCTTCAAGCTGCTTACTTGTCTCCCCCAATTGAAGTTTATTCTAAAACATAACAAACAAAAGAGCTAAATTCCGCTATCTTATGATGCAAAAACCATAGCTGGACTAACCAAAATTAGTATTGATATTACAGTGATTACAAACTGTTACGGGAGCATCGACATATACAAACAGAGAATACAATGCTGCAGAAATATATTCTCTCTGCCCTGTGCAAAAAACACATGTTAAAGTGGCAAAACTTGCTTCTGTAACACATGGGGTGTTCTATCATGTGTGCAAAGGAAAAGGGACTTCCCTGGAGAAAGAATCACTATCATGCCACATTTTCACTCCAAAAAGGCAACAAAGGCAGCGATGGTAGTCTTCACAGCTTCCCAGTGATAAGAAGAGGAGAAAGCAGTGGGAAAATGCTTGAGGACAGAAACAACTGTTTGGCATAGGCAGTGAGGATTTGGCACGTTACATGGCTGGTCACATGTTCAGTTGGGCTGCTCATCCCCATACGCATGTTCCTGACAAATGTGGCATGACTGAACCCATAAATACTGCTCGCTTTCCATTGTGGAGAAAAATTGATATTTTCTATTTGCAGTCAAGCGCAAAAGAACATTCCATTGCTTTGGATTATTACGCGTCTCCTGTCAGGTTTGACCCCTACACCGTGAGTTTCATTTTGTCAATGTTTTTTTTTTTCTTTTTTTCTATGCCATATAGTTGGTCAATAAAGAAAGGACTGCTTGCTTATAGCAGATTTACGGGTGTCTCTTGCTAGGAGGAACGTGCTTTGTGACCTGAACTATATGAAAACTGACCTGAGATAATTCTCCTCTGATTTAACTTGTTATTTAGCCATGCAAGTCAGTAGTGGCAAAAAAAAATAGTAACTTGAGTGACCGTGCAGTGTACACTGAATCTTCAGTGAACCAAGCACAGGTATAGTATGCTCAATGTATTGCTGCCAGCATGCTTTTATGCAAAAGGCATTAGGTTTGAAGCAAAAGAATTTACCGATAATACGAAACGTTTATAATTCTCCTGCTCCTTTTTTTTCTGCATGCCTTTGCTTGTGGAAGAGTAGGAGGAGAGAAAGTGGCAGGTTTAATCGTGTGGAGGATGTTGGACTCAATTGAATGAACCTTGGACCGAAGAGCTGGAAGATAAACTGAAAGTAAAGGTAAACAACAGATAAACTAAGCCACAGATGTCGGAGGAATAATATTAGCATTGCATCAGGCACCACATTTCTGAAGAGTGTGTATTTGTTTATTTCGTAAACATTTTTAGATTTGTTTTTTTCCTCTTGCATTACTCATAGGGTTTTCCTCTGCTTTGTTGCTCTTCCATGTCCAGGACTTGGGACTCATTTACATTCCAGTAAAATGATCCGTCCGTTTTCCTGTGAGTCCGAAGGTTTTCGGAGCTTATCCCAACTGACTCTGTGCTGTACAGTGACATTGGTCGGTAAACATGCAAGGTAAAATGTTTTGGCAGAATTACAAATTAGCCGTGAAAAAATATTTCATTGAACCAACGCTTGGCAGTTCTGAGGTTGAGGGTTCCAATCTTGGCTGCGGCCTTTATGTGGGGTGTTTGCATGCTGTCTTCCTTGCATGTTTGTTTGTTTTTTTTCTCCTCTATTTTTCCCTGACAATGAATTTAATGTCATGAATCTGTTCCAGTCCAGTAACAGAAATCATTCTACCGTTCCCCAGATCTGTCTTTTGAGACAAACTGTCTCGGAAGTCTACAGATAATTCCTTTGCCTTCATGCTTGGCTTATGTGCTGACACGCGCTGCCGACTGCAAAATGTACATACGATGTCTTGGTTTTTTTTTTTTTTGGGGGGGGGGGGGAGGTTCAATTATTACTTTTTTTTTAAATCCATGTTGAAATAAGGCTGTGACAGAACAAAATGGCAATGAATACTTTTCCGGATGCTCTGTATATACACAGAGAAACTAAGGTGACAATCTTGTCAAAATGTACTCGTCTCAAGGATCATTCTCCACCCCGCTATCTGGTGGTGTGGCTGGAGCTTTGTCAATTATCACGTTTTCATTGTCATGATTTAATTTTGTGACCTTGGCTTTTGAGGGAGCACATGCTTTATATAAACATGGCAATAAAACTTGATAAATCGCTCTCTTGATAAAGTCACAGACAATGTGACACTGTGCAACTGACTTTGTCGCGTGTCGTTTGGTCCTCATTTTCCAGCCACGAGATTCTTATAGCTCTGAAGCCCTGGAAAATGGCATAACAGTGGTTCATTAATTGATAATTCATCGCAAATGTCTGCTGAGCTGAAGCTATGGAACCAAACAGAACCTGCAAAGACAGAGCCGAGCAAATGAAAAAAATCCGACTTGTGTGGCAGTGGATTGGAGGTTCCATTAAGCAAGGTGCTGGATGATGAGGGTGAACGTAGAATGACAAGAAAAATGGCCAATTTTCTACCCTGGTTGAATTAATTTCCAAAGTCATACTGACACTGACATCTACTTTTTGGACAATATTTTTTGCTCGCTCAATAAAATGTCTGGGCTCAGGTTGTAGAGCGGCTGCGTGTCTATCAAACAGAAGATGGTTAAATGTGTGGCTGACTGAGGCAATAATGTAAAAGTGCTTTGTGTGCTTCGGGGGGGGGGCATGCGAGCACAATATAAAATATTATTTGGAGAAGACTTGAAACACTGCTTTATGTTCCAGCCATCGTATACACAGACAAATATTGCCGCCTTCAACGTGTTGCAGGCATCAAATTCAAAATAAGTGAATATTTGTGTTGTGTAATATTGTGGGAAGCATTGGGGGTGCAGCCGCCATACACTCAGCAGCTCCCCCCCCCCCCCTCCCAACCCTTTCATATGGTACAGTATCAATTCCCTGGCAAGCACAAGATCATTTTCAAGGTATGGTGGTTCTGCACTTATTTCATTTGGAGGGAAACTTATATGGAATCATCCAAATAACATG